TTAATAAGTGTGTGTTAATGGCGGCACCATACAGAATGTAACCATAGTCTACAATAGATCGCACGTAGGCTCTGTAAAACATCAGTGCAACTTTAGGGTCAGCAACCCATCTATGATTAGTGACACATTTAAGAATATTAATACCTTTTTAACACCTACTTTTTATATATTCAACATGTTTTGACTATAAAAGTTTGAGATCAAGAAGAATGCCAAGATATTTGTATTCTTTGACAATACGTATATCATATCCAGATAACTTAGTTTTGTCAGGCGTACGAATCCTATATCTAGTGAATATCTAGTGAATATCATGTACCATGTATGTGTATCTGATTTATCAGGGAAAATGGTCAGTCCATGATTTCTTACCCAGTTATTAACGTTTTATATGATGAATTCTAGAGCCTCTAGGTAGTCAGAATACGAGTTACGCTCTGTATATATGCATATGTCATCAGCGCATTGGATGCAATTGATTGTGTTGTCAAAAATGCCATAAACACTTGCTGAAATATATTGAACAATACCGGACTTAAAACTGATCCTTGTAGAAGACCTGTATAAGCAATTCTAGGATCTTTAATATATATAACACGATTATTATAAAGATGAAAAAATATTAGTCGCTATATTTTGAGGTAATCCTATGTCAAATAGTTTTTTGTGTAACATGGATAAATTGACAGAACCATATGCCCCTTTTAGGTCTAAAAGCAAACAAGAAAGATAATTGTTTCTGGAACATGTTATTTGAATGTCGGTAACTAAATGTGATATTGCATTCAGTGTACCAACAGTAGCCCTAAATCCATATTTTGTACTTGGAAGGATTCCATAATGTTCTATAAGCCATTCTAATCGAGTCTTAATAAGTCTTTCAAATATCTTGCCTATGCAAGATATTAATGATATCGGTCTGTAAGAAGGGGAGAGTGTTTTATCCTTATTAGGTTTAAGAATTAAACAAATAACTATTTCTTTCATATGGTCAACATATCTTCCATTGAAAAGCCAATCGTTGCAATTTTTTAGTAAACTTTGTTTAGCTATAAGAAGTAGTTCATATATTTATGTTATAAGTAATTTGATTGCGCCACGAAGCCGAGGAATTTGACGACTTGAGTGCAGCCTCAAATCTTTGATATCATAACTTTCCTGGAAAATATTGTATTTACAAGTTTTACTGTTATCCTGAATAGGAAGTTCAACATATGGCGGAGCAAATTTGTCGAGCAACTCTTCTATTAGTTCATGTGGCAGGGGATATCGTCTTGTACAGTAGTTTTTATTCACTAGTTTATTAACAAAATTCCAAATTTTACTGGTGGGAGTATTTTTCTTTAAAGTATTCACAAAGTTAATCCACGAACTTTTTTGTTTGTTTGTAAACAGGAGTTTACTTTTGGCTTTAATTTGTTTGTATTTAACATAGTTTTCAAAATGTGATGCTTTTATATAACTTTTGTATGCAACTTTTTGTAAAATTATCATATTTATGCATTCATAATCCCACCAGACCGGAATTAGAGATTTTGGCTGAAAGGAATTTTTGATATTCATAGAAACTAAGGCAGTACCGTCAATTGTCTTTAAAAGGAAGTCAAAGCAGTCTGCTAAAGTGATATTATCGGTTATATTTTCAGATAATGTTTTTTCTATATGACATTTAAAGATAATCCAGTTTGCGGAACACTCTTTTCATTTAGATGAAGGAATTATTGTACATGGGTGATATTCCAAGTCGATGGTGATTACTATAGGTATGTGAGTTGAACCCAGAGTACCGGGAACGGGATCCCATGTGGTGTATCCAATTAGATTTGGTGTAACAAGGGATAGATCCACCATTGATGGAAGTTCATTAGATCTTGTTACTTTGGTCGGTCTACAGTCATTTAGCAGAACTAAATTACTGGTTGTTGCTGTGCGCGTCTACTATACACTTGCCCTGAGTGGAATCCTTCAAGAAACCCCACGTACTGTGGTGTCCATTGAAGTTCCACCAATGACTACCCTACCACTAAATTGAGGTAAAAGTTTTTCCCAATCTCTATAATTGACTATTACTTTGGGTGCGTTATAAATACAAACTATTACCAATTTAATTTATTCTATAAATACTGCACACGTTTCAATACCTTTATTAAAGTTTTTCGTTACACTAATGTCAGTAAAACAAAGGTTTTTTTTGTTTCATTAAGCAGGATGACATCAACAACATTGTGCTTGAGGTAATTAAGTAAACTAGGTTTATGTTTATTTATAGATTGACAGTTCCACTATAGTATGTTAAATGTTCTGTTGTTCCCCATCGCTTTCAATATCTGTTAGGTTGATCAACATTTTTTTCAATTTCTTCCTTTGTCTTTTTTTGTTTAGGTAAAAATATTTTAGGGTTAATTTTCTTGATAATATTTTCTATTAAGGCTGGAATTTCATTGATTATTTTACATTCTGTTTTTTCTTTATAAACCATAAACTCGTCCCTGTAGGGATTAGGGATTATAGGCTGAAATAAGGTGTTTGTAGCGTCTGGAAATCTTAGGAAAATGGGTGGGTTTTTGACCGCAGTCGAAGAGATAGCTTTACACTTGTTTCTTAGTTTTTTAAAAGTAGGTGCATAGGATTGATTTTGATTAGTTCCTTTAGAGACGTTAGGGGTTAAGGCTGGGAAATTTTGTATAGTATTGACGATATCGAATCTATTATTAATAGTTACCTTGGCGTATGACGGATTGTTAGCTATGGTTTCTGCTTCTTTAAAGGTAGTGTTTTCTAAAGCCATTATTTATTTTATTTTGTATTGGTGTTTAAATGCAGGACACTGTTTACAGAGTGAGTTATGTTCAGTGAAGTTGCAATGTATACAAAATATACAAAATAGGAAGTTAGTGCATGTTTCATTATTATCATGAGTTTGACTACATTTTTTACAACAATTTGATGCCTAATATTGCCGAGCATTATGACCGAACCGAAAGCAATTAAAACACTGAACAACCGGATATATATATATATATTATATATATATATATATATATATATATATATATATATATTATACATAAAACCTAAGTCTAAATTAGCAATCTTAGGAATGCTATTTCCTTCAAATGTCAAAATTACCATCTGGCGAGGAATAAGAATTGTTTCATTATCCGAATCAATTATTTTCCGTTTTAACCTTTTTACTTCGACAACATTTTTATCTGAAACAATATTTTCTAAAATATGCTTTTCATCCAAAAACGTATCGACTTCCCTAATAATTCCCTTTTTTTTTTTTAATAAAACATTATGGAACATGCGCTACAAGTTTATTATTCTTAATAAGCTTATGTTCAATTAAAGAAATTACGCAAGTATAAGTTTCAAAAAATACTTTTACCTTATTTCTGCCAACAGGTTGAATGTCTAGTACATCGTGTTTAAAATATTGATTTTTAAATAAATAATGACCGACACGTACTGGTGATAAACGGGACAAGTTTTTGTCTGTAGATTCTACAAAAACATAATAATACCCTGAATCATTTATTTTATATCTGTTATTTAAATTAATATATCTTTTGTCTTCCGTATCCGTTAATAATATATTATTCTAGAGTGGCTCAACTCCACCCCCGACTTACTCATAATAATTAATTATATCCTACCTTTTTTGAAGATCCGTTGGTTTATTTTCAAATTAAATACCTATTAATTTGTTAATGGCGCTAGTTAAGGACACCGGCACAGATTATTATCGTTAACGATGTTCACCTGTTAACTGTCCAACGAGTGCTAAAAAGATTTGCAAAAGATTTCTGTTATATTATTCATAGGTACTCATCAATAGAATAGAAACTGTGGTAAATCAAGAGTTCTTTAACTCTATGTTTAAAATACTTAGAAGATAACTGTTTATATCGTATTCAAATATATATAAAAATACTGAAGTTACTTGTACATAAAGGTACTGTACTTTTTTCTATTACTAATATTCTAGTGAATATGGTCTTTGAGATGATAGCATGATTTTCAGAATTATCACGTGTATAACATGACGAATTCTTATTACTGGGCAAAGAATATTATTTGTTTGCAATTGGAACAAAACTCACCTTCTCGGTTAACTTTAAAATATTATGAGAGGCTCTTTTAGGAGTTAGATTTGAATCTGTTAACATCTTCTGTATCATAGAAATAATCAAACTCTTTTTATGCATATCACAAGAGTCGTGTTCTACAATACTATCTTGAGAAGATTTAATTAATGGAACTGGTGCTCTTTCTGCATTCATTGTATTCATTGTACCATGGGTTAGAGCGTTCTTGACTACGTCACACGCCTGGGTGAGCTGTCAAATGTCATGCGCAATATTATACATTGGGTTCGTTGTACCATGAGTTATGGGTGAGGGAATATTACAGACAGTTCATTGGAAATACAATTGACCATTTTCGTGCGACCAAAGGTTGTCGTGTATAATTGCAGCTTTTGCAGAAATGACTTGAAGAGGCTATTATTTTGACTATTAGGTAATATTAACTAATTCATGTTCTTCGTCTTAATTATTTAGACAATATTAAATACTACAGAAGTGAAGTTAAACCAATTGTATAGGTATGTTGATGAAACCTGTGTACATGCAAGACACACTGCGCCGAACAGTTGGTCAGATGATAGTCATAAAGGATTGTTGGAAAAGATTTCAAAAAGAAGTAGGTTGGTTATCAAACATAGAATAAAAAAAGTCGGAAGATTATCATACTGACATGACTGCAGACAGTTGAAAATGTTTGGAGGAACATTCAATCTCCAATTTGTTTTTTTTTTTAAATTAACATCTGTCAGTTTCAGCATTCTTACAAAATATCTTCAATGTATTTATCACTGAACACATACTGAAAAGTGTCACTTTGTTTATTATAACAAAAAAATAGAATCAATTATACATAAATTGTACAATCATGTATAAAAACCACAGTTTTATCAAAACTTTTGTTTGTTTTAGGTCATATGTTAGTTAATTGGTGTTTGTCTGAGATTAACGAAAAAAACTCAATAAGTAAGGAAATAAATTTTCAAGAATTAAAAATATTAGTCATTCAATTCTGTACTCACCTATTGGCAGCGGGAGTTCTAAAGCAGTTACCTGACAAAGAAGTCCCGATGTATAATATATTTAAGGTAAGAGCACGACAAACACTAGTACGTAGATGTTATTTGCATATCATTAAGAAAATAACAAAGATTGGTGATTTAAATTATTTAGAAATTGGATTCTATTAACTAAAGGTCTATTACTTACTATACTATATCAAATTACAAATTAGTAGTTTATAAGAAATACAAAGGTTCGATATTTTGAATAAAAACAACGTCTAACGTTACTGATAGAAACAAAGCTTTTCTGGTAGCTTTACCGAACAGGAGTTACTGTAAAAATAGGTTGTGTTAAGAAAAAATATTATTATTCAAAAAGCAATACAGTATTGCGTGATTTTTAATAAACGATGAACTTTCCATTCATGTGAAATTTTTCGGAGTTTCATAATTATATTAAACAAACCTACTAATCTACTTGTAGGTGCCCACCTAAAGCATCTCACACTTATCCAGTAATATCATTTGGTCCAAAGCTTTTAATAGAAAACAGAAGGTATTAGCAAAGAATATAGACGCTTATAGAAGAACAGTTCAAATGGACGATTTGGTTAGGGTTTACACTTTAAAACACATCTGGCAGTCGGCTTAAACTATCTCATAAAAGATGTAATTAGGGGAAAGTGGGAAAGGAGTACGAGCGGAGGAGTTATTTATTTAACTTTGCATCTACGATTAAAAAAATCCCATGCTCTTTTTGTTTTTTTTTTCACAATAAAATCTTTATTTTCAATATATTAAATTGTTAAATTTTGAATTTTGAAATTTAAAAAGGTATGATATTTACAATATTCAAAGCATTTATTTTTTACATTTTATAACTTTGAATTAAAAATAGGTTTGTTCCAACACAACGAAAAACCGTCACATAAATTTTTATTATACTGTTTTTTCTGCCCAGAAATTAACGAAATATTTTTTTAAAATATTTCGTTAATTTTTGGGTTAATTCAACCAAAAATTTGATTTTCTCAGGACTTTTCATTAAACTTTTTAGATATGTTTCCATTATTCTGCAGAAAAAACAGTGTTGTGTTTTACATTTTATGTTATTTTATATTAAAAACAAAGAAGAAATTATTAAATTTAGAAAATTTGGAAATACTTAATTCCGGTGATTGATGACTTTATTGGTTGAATTAATTTTATAGTTAATAAAAAGAGAGTTCTTCTTATTAACTATAATATTATTTGTAGATTTGTACCTATTTAAATTAAAAATTCGAATCATAATATTTTTTCTAATATGATTCATTTATTAAAAGTTAAAATATTATTATTTTCTTTAAAAAATATTATAAAACGCAAAAATTTAATCCTATTCTACGGCCACGCGGCATTATGTGTTCGTAGTTCTCTGGCATTATACATAAAAATATCTGTTGCATTTGTTGCCCCACTCTTTCATATTTTAAAAGCAATAATAGCGTTGACATGACCGCTCCCTTCTCGATCCACCCTCTCATTCTTTTTCATAACGTGCGATCATCTTTTGCAAACTTTCAAACATAACAGTGAAAGATTCTTCTATAAGCGTCTATATTCTTTGGTATTAGCAAAGAATATAGACGCTTATAGAAGAACAGTTCAAATGAACGATTTGGTTAGGGTTTACACTTTAAAACACATCTGGCAGTCGGCTTAAACTATCTCATAAAAGATGTAATTAGGGGAAAGTGGGAAAGGAGTACGAACGGAGGAGCTATTTATTTAACTTTGCATCTACGATTAAAAAAAAATCCCATGCTTTTTTTGTTTTTGTTTTCACAATAAAATCTTTATTTTCAATATATTTAATTGTTAAATTTTGAATTTTGAAATTTAAAAAGGTATGATATTTACAATATTCAAAGCATTTATTTTTTACCTTTTATAACTTTGAATTAAAAATAGGTTTGTTCCAACACAACGAAAAACCGTCACATAAATTTTTATTATACTGTTTTTCTGCCCAAAAATTAACGAAATATTTTTTTAAAATATTTCGTTAATTTTTGGGTTAATTCAACCAAAAATTTGATTTTCTCAGGACTTTTCATTAAACTTTTTAGACATGTTTCCATTCTTCTGCAGAAAAAACAGTGTTGTGTTTTACATTTTATGTTATTTTATATTAAAAACAAAGAAGAAATTATTAAATTTAGAAAATTTGGAAATATTTAATTCCGGTGATTGATGACTTTATTGGTTGAATTAATTTTATAGTTAATAAAAAGAGAGTTCTTCTTATTAACTATAATATTATTTGTAGATTTGTACCTATTTAAATTAAAAAAGCGTCTATATTCTTTGGTATTAGTTAAACATTTTGATTGCTTTTATAAGCTTTGTAATATTGGTGTTTACTTGTGTAAAATCACTTACATCTTTCATATCAAACAAAAGAGCTAAACCTTGGATGATAAAGCCGTATTAAAATTGAACAAGAAGAGTTTGTGCTATAAAATTCACAAATTATGATTTTGTTGAAACCTTGTCCATTACTATTTTATCTTCGATATTTCTACCCTTCCATTTATTCTTCTAACCAAAACTATTTTAAACTTACAGTGCAAATCGTATTGTTTAATTTTATATTTGATATATTCCTTTGAAAATTCAATATCTATGTCTCTAATTATACCCTGTATATGGCACGTAAACATTAAAATTGTTGTTTGTAAATAATGAGCAAGTTTAATTATTGATTAATCGGTTGTCTGATTGATAGTCTTTATTTAATTTAATTCAGATTCTATTCTTGTCAAATGCTGGGAGGAGTTGAGTATGAACGTGTGTCAATGCTGGGAGGATTTGAGTATGAATGTTGTGTGTCAGTGCTGGGTGGATTTGAGTACAAATGTTGTGGGTTGGAGTTGGACGGAGTTAAGTGAACATTTGTGTTGAGACTAAGTAACAGAAAAATATACTTAATTTTGATAAAAATTGTACATTCTATTTCTCCTACTGCTTAACTCGTTTTGGCACGCACACGCGTCCACACTGCGCTGACAACTTGTCGTCAAATACACATACAAAACACAGACTTTTTGATCTTTACCGATCTGAGATGGGACCTGAAAAAGTTTTCAAATTTGCAAACAAAACAAAATTGTTCAGAAATGTCTCAACAAATGTTTTCGATTTGTCGCCACTTTGTCGCGAAACATGAATGTTTTTGTTTTGTCTGTTTGGTCTGGACCCGGCATTACGAGAGTCGGAAATACTCTTTTTTTTATTTTGCTCTTTATTCCATATTCATTCCATAAATATATATATATATATATATATATATATATATATATATATATATATATGTATATATATATATATATATATATATATATATAAATATATATATATATATATATATATATATATATATATATATGTATATATATATATATAAATATATATATATATATATATTTATATATATATATATATATATATATATATATATATATATATATATATAACTCTATTTGTTATTTCTCAATATTTCGTTACGATTTTGTGACTTCTTCAGGAGAAAACTGTAAATTTATTATAATTACTATATGTAAAAAAAATGAATATTTCAATACTTACAACTATAAGATTAAAAATTTAAATTTGGATGACATATCTACGTAAATAAATGACATTTTTGATTTTAATTTATTTAGGAGTTATGGTAACCGCAATATTTTATAGAGTGAATTCCCAATATAACTTATTCACTAAAAATTGTACAGTGGGAATTCACTATATAAAATATTGCGGTTACCATGACCACAAAATAATAAACAGAATGTCCACTCTCAGATGCCGCTTTTGAAGTTTTTCAGCACGCGCGCCATATTTTAGAAGGAAACACATAACACAGACATATGATTTGTGAGGTTATGTAATTGCTTATATTTATGTTTAATTATATTATATTTATGTTATTATTTTTAACAATGGTAATATGTAATCTATGATTGCCGTAAGTCAATTAAACCGGGTTAGTTTTTGAATGAAATATTGGTTAGAGACTGTCTTACCAGGTCGTGACTGATCCCTAGGACGTTTTACTTCAGGTTTCTTTTGTTTGATCAAACCACAAATAAAAGTATTCTGTGCTGTAAATGTTTTCAATTTCCAGAATAAATCAAATGATTTTTTTCTGTCTTCACATGACATATTTTCAAAACATTTTTTATTGCAAAAACAGTTGTTGTTTGAAAAAGTTTTAACTGGCACTACTTTTCCTTTTGTTTTCTTATACTCACAACCTGAGTTGCAAAGTCGCTTTATTTGTTCTTTTTTATTTTCATGCCTCTGTCGTTTTCGTGCTCTCTTGGGTTATTGAACTTCTACTTCTTTATTACTTTCGCTTTCATGGTCTTGCGGAGGGACTTCCTCATTTAATTCACTGTCTGAAACAAACCAACTTTATTAAAATAACACTCAAAAACGTTGTTCTATTTATACGACTTTATTTATTGTTAGTGAAGATAATTCAACATTTTGAGGTTAATTTTTATTTTATACAAATAAATATAATACACAAGTTTAACTTACCAATACTTTCTTGTTGAGAATCAGAAGGTACCCACTCCTCATCTCCTGAGTAAGCGAAAATACTAGGCTCATCACTCACATCACTTAAACTGTCGTCATCCATTGTATTAAAAAATCACAACTACAAAATACTAAACAACTGTGATAGGAATGACGGAATAGTTGTGTAAAGCTCGATTCAGACACATCAGTTACGTCTCGTCACAGTCCTGGCGCCGAACCGGACAATCCGTCATACAAAATATTCTTTAATAGAAATATGGCGCCGGCATTCACATTCATCAGGCGACGAACAGTTTCCCAGCTGTCAGATAGTTGATAGTTCTGAGACCAAACAGGACCGGATCGGCACCGAGACTATGACGGGACTGATGTGTCTGAATCTACCTTAAGTCTGACTTGCACCACTATTTTCTCTACTACAACAGAGATTTTGTTTGACTGTCAAGTTTGTGCTGCTATCTGTGAGCAAATGGAAAACTTATGATTTACACCACTATTGCGTCTGATAGATTTAAATATGGAGGTTTTGAATATGCAATTATCTGTATTCTATAAAAAAGTGACTTGTACCACTTTTCCTTTCACCGCCTCATATATATATATATATATATATATATATATATATATATTATATATACATATATATATATATATATTATATACATATATATATATATATATATACATATATATATATATATATATATATATATATATATATTATATACATATATATATATATATATATATATATATATATATATATATATATATATATATGTATGTATGCATGTATATGACTATATATATACTCATTTAAGTTTAGAAATAACTCTTTTGTCAGCTTTTTTTCAAAAATTCAGTGCGAGATTATATCAGTGGAACTAAATAACTAAATTGAATAAATTAATACAACTAGTAACTGTAAGTTGCCTACATTTGGCGCAACTCAGGGATATAAATTAGGTCATGTTCTGAAAAAATTTAAAGTTATATAAATACTTGACTTGATAAGTTAATTAACATTATGAAAAGAAGAAAATATCTATAAAACTTGAATTTAATATTGGAATATATAAAAAAGTTTATTAGTAACAATATTATATAAATTTATTTTAAATAGTATATAGCTGGACTATTTACGCTATCTGGAGATAAATGCCGGACAAAAAGAAGCAGCGTTTGACTGCGCCAAAACTTGCATTAAAAGTTTCGATTCGATAAAAGCCATTGATTTTGAGTAAAACATTAAAAAATGCATATCAATATTATCAATCATGTAATTTTAGGCGAAGAAAAAATTGACATTTAGTTACGAGACTAAAGCAAAAATAAAAAAAACCTACTTACATTCAACAAACCACATTTTAGTTATTCTTCAATTATAAGAATTAACTTTAAAAAATTACCACTAGATATATAACAAATTATTTCTAATTTATTGTTTTTGTATAATTTTAGCCTGATTTAATATACTTCTGGACGCATACCGAAGCCCCAGCAGCTGTTCCTCAAACACCCGGCAGGCTTAGCATGATATCGTGGCCGCCCATGTCTCCATCTGAAAATCTTATGTCGCCTTATGAAAACGAACCAATATCAGCACCTTCAATCATAGACGAAATTCTTAAACCTAGACCAGAACTAAGGAACTCGGCACGAGATGTAGAAATATTAAGTTTGGAAGATGAAATTAAACGACTCAAGCAAGAAATCGAAAAATATAAAACGTTAGTTGAAATTCAAACCCTTACAAAGAATGCTGTAATAGATTTTTCTTCTCCTGTAGAATCGCCAAGTATAGAAGAAAAATTGTCTGAAAAATTTATGAAACTTAATAAGGAAGTAATTAAAAAGGATATTTCGATTCAAACAGAAGAAATTGATGGTATAAAAAAACCTAGCACAGTTTCGAGGTCAACTTCTTGTGATGACTCGTTTACAAACAATTTGACACAAATTTCAATACAATCACAATGCAATAAACCGCAATTGCTCACTGAAAGTTCGTATATACCACCACCTCCTCCCATGCCAGCTCCCTTATCGTCAGATAGCTCAATACAATCCCCTTTACCTCAGTTACAAAGTATGACAACAACATCATTACCAACAACGAATAAACCACCCCCTCCCCCTCCCCCACCACCTTTGCCAATGACTGGAATACCAGCGCCCCCACCACCACCTATGCCATCCACGCAACCATCATTAGGAGCGCCACCTCCTCCGCCCATGCCAGGTATGCCCCCTCCACCACCTATGCCAGGAATGCCAGCGATACCTCCACCGCCGCCTATGACAGGAATGCCACCACCGCCACCTATGCCGGGAATGCCTCCTCCGCCACCTATGCCAGGTATGCCAGCACCCCCACCGATGCCTGGTGTACCTCCACCTCCCCCTGCGCCAGGAATGTCTGGACCGACGCCGTTACCAGCTCCCCCAGTTGGTGGATGGAGCTCGCAAAAAGCAGGTAATTTTAAATATATTTCATTTTATCCACATAGATTAGCAAGAATTAAAATATGAGCAAAATACTTTTCTACCTAAATGTATACAGGTAAACCACTGGGAGGATACTTGTAGTGTATTATTTTATAACAGGATAGTTTCTCAGTTAACCATACTAGTGGTAGATGAGAGAGATAGATATGTAGACATTTATTGTTTTTAAAAACACAATTTTATAACAATGAGATAGAAATTGCTTTTACAAACGTTTTAGTGACATCATTAAGATAACCAATAAGGTGGGTATAATTGTTAAGGGAACCATAATAACCGGCTTTATTGAACTGTAAATGGGACGTTCAAATACAATGTAGTAAATTTTCAAGAGTTTTCAACTTGTTTGTGTTGCAAATAGTACAAATTCCAGATAGTCGAATATATTTTAAGGGAATTTGAAATTCTAGATATTGCTGTACTGTGGTATCTACGGATAAATTTTTGTAAATCGTTGAGAATATTGATAGGGAAAATGCTTTCATGTCTTCTTCATGAAGCATGAAGAGAAAGTCGTAAATCATTCTCGTAAATCATAAAGTCGCATTCTCGATAGTTTGACGAGCCAATTTAAAGTAAGCTTGAAAATAGTGAAAGACATTTTGACTGTTTCGATTTCCAACCTAACGGCTCAATAAGGTGTATTTATACTAAGATGTAAAAGTTTTTTATAAAAAATGTTTGTATTTTTTCTAGCGGGCCAGCATATCACATTACCAAAGGAGCACACAGTTTATAACACAACTTTGAACTAATGAATCCAAAAGTTGCACACGAGACGTCGAAGAATTCATTTTGGTTTTTAGGCAGTCAACTTATTACATTACCAATTGCACGTTTTGCTCTTGTCAATGTTGTATCGGCCATTACTTTAAAAATGATGTGGTTAAGGTGACTCCTAGGTATACAAATTTGTTGACAACAATTCAATTGTTTCGTACTTATATAGGTATCTGACACCCTTAGAAGAATTTTGGTTTTGCCAACATTTACAGTTAGCTGGTTTGGTCACTGTATTTTTCTAGATAACAATAACTAATGTGTATTGAGATTTCTGCCTTTCTGGATTTGCGCCACCACAAGGAATGAATTGGTATAGATATCCCTCTGAGCTACACAACCACCAGACCTTGCAGCCAAAGAGCACTGGTTTGCCCTTCATAAACATTTTTGTAGAATGTCGACCAAAATAAGGAAGCATCTGTTCATCTATAGATATATTATGGGCAGATAGTCCAAACTGCAAATATCTTTCGTTCATCAGCAAAAATAATGACGTATCTTAGCAAATTTATCATTTTTGTCTAAGTTATTATTATCGGAGACATGAAGATTTCTTTTTATGTTTCGGAAGGTGTTTCGACTCTTGCACTTTCTCACGAGCTCCACGCCTTTATCTGGGTCTTTTGACCAATACATATCACACGCCGGAAGTGTATGATTACCGGTAAGGATTAAAATACCAAAAAACTTCTGCAGTTGAGCTGGAGAGAGTTTTAAATGTGTCTGTTATTGTCCCAGCCATACTCCAGGCTGAACTCGAGTATCTTCTGGAATACAATATCGTCAAAAAACAAAGAGAATATTTCAAATCGTGTTTTCTTACCAAGTCTTAGCTTTATTTCTTCCTTTTTATTAAATTCATTTTCTTTTGGAGAAGAGAAATAGTTTTATGACGATTTAGACCAGCCAGGTGTATATTGCGTTGGTTTGCGTTTTCGTTGGGAACTTATTTATTCTCCCTTCTTGTAGATCGTTCCAATGTGGATTCTGTGGGCGTCTTAGCCTCATCTAAAGGCCTTGTGTGGATCTCGATTGTTCCAGCGATATCAGTCAAAGTTTTTTCTCTATAAGAAGATTATCATCCAAATCCTCTTCATCTGTTAACACATCAACTAAAGGAAGTATATAAACTGCATCTATCTCATCCGCTTCTTTTAAATCAGAATCATCCTTCAGTATATTCATTATCGTACATTTCTGATAATAATATATTATGTATATGGATTATGTATATGGCATATTATGTGGTAATAATATTTATATGGAATATGTATATGGGATTTACAAAACACTAATAACAAATTTTAAATACTCTTTGGACATCTTGATTCACGGTAAAAATACCGAAAAATTCTAAAAAATACCTACTAACGAGTAGACTCACTATTATTGTAGGTCTTGCTTTTATTTCGTTTTGCGACCTATATGTCTTCGTCTTAATTTATAGTGAATTCGTAGTAATCTTTATTGATAAAACTTACAAAAAATCGTTGGCTTTTGTTACTAGGTACAAACACGTCTTGCTGCTGGTGATGTAATTCGACTGTCTGAATCGTCATGATATGGACGTTACGAGCGCATACGTGGGGTGTGGATATCTGCACGTATAAAGTATTTATTAATATTTTAATAAATTGTAAAATATCTACACTCGGCCCTCCTGACAAGAATCCGTCTCGGATTCTTCCGATTCTCCATCGATCCACGGCTTCATATACTCGGCGCAAGTAGACGTATTGCTTAGACCATCATGAACCCCTACCTTAATAACATCGTATCTATCATTTCTCTTCACCTTGATAACTTCATAAGGCCCAAGAAACTTTTTATCTAATTTCAGACCAGGTCCAAACGGTGTCCTCTTTATAGCGACTAGTTTTTCTTCTTTGTATTTTCTAGCTTCTTTCCTTCTCCTGTCATAACCTTTATTCTCTTCTTGAATTTTAGCAATGCACTTCTTAGCCTGAATTTGCATCTCTTCTCTTTGCTCAGAGAATTCTTCGATAACTTCTTTTTCTATTAATTCTTGAACGTTTACATCTTCCTTACTTCTCATTTTCTTTCCAAATAATATGTTAAATGGTGTGCAGTCTATTGTTCTCTGGTACGTCGAATTCAAAGCTTGTTGCACTCTACTTAAGTGTTTATACCATTTGGTTGGGTTTCAATAGATAGCTTCATTAATATAGGTATTAGTATCCGATTTGTTCTTTCAACTTGACCCTTTCCTCTTGGTACCTCTGCAGTAATGGTAAGACATTTAATATTTTCTTTCTGACAATATAATTTGAATTCGTTAAGTGTAAATCCCGATCCTTTGCCCGTTATTATTCTTCTACGATTCCCAAAAATGTGTTGCTGTCTAGCTAAACAATCTAACACTTCTTTTGTCGTAGTGATCTTTGTTGGATATAACCACACAAATTTTGAATAGTCGTTAATTATAACCAAAATATGTTTATAATTTTTATTTGTTGACAAAAGGGGTCATAAGTGATCAACATGGTAAGTGACAAGTGGTCCCTCTTTCGGTAATGGGTTTAGAAAACCTTTTTTTTTCCTCTTTCTTATTTCCTAAAATGTACTTCACGCGATTTGTGATGATAATTTTGATATTGTCTTTTGCTTTTTTGACATAAAACTCTCTTTCAAGTACCTCTTTTTTCTTCGTTACTGCAAAATGTCCTATTTCGTGTGAACGTCTTAAAATCTCATTTTCAATAGCCTCTATTAGTTCTTTACCGTTTACGTACGTATATAAAATATCATTTTTTAGGAAATAATCATTATATTCGTCTTCTCGTTCTAATATTTTCTTAATTGATTGAATATATTCGTCTTTTTCTTGCGCTGTTTTTAGCCTTTTGATAATTCTGCATTCTATTTTCTCGTCCTCTGACAATACAGCACAATGTCTGCTAAAAGCATCAACATGAGACATTCGGGTGCCTGATCGATGTTCTATTTCGTATTCGTATTCCTTTAATAGTAAAGCCCATCTTGCTACTCTCGTAGTTAGATCTTTTTTGTCCACCGTCTTCTGGAAGGCTTGGCCATCTGTTACTATTTCGAATTTAGTACCTAATAAATAAGTACGGAACTTCATTACTGCTTGGATGATAGCTAATACTTCCAATTCATAACTAGAATATTTTTTCTCTGCTGGTGTCGTCTTTTTGCTCATATAATATATCAAATGAAATTTATTATCCAGATAAGATTTTTGCATCAGACAAGCTCCGTGTCCGTATTTGCTTGCATCCGTGTGGAGATCTAAATCTCTAAATAAAAAACTGGTCCGTTACTCAAAAGACATTTTAATCTTTCAAAAGTTTTTATATGAGGTTCTTCAAATTTAAACACTTGGTCTTTCTTACACAAATCGCTTAACGGCTTTGCGATCACTGCTTAAGAATATATAAACTTTCTAAAATATCCAGTTAGTCCCAAAAATGATTGTACTTGTCTTACTGTAGTTGATGTTGGATATCTTTTTATGGCTAACGATTTGTCTTTCGATGGTTCAATTTTATTCTCCATGATTATAAATCCCAAAAATTATATTCTTCTCTTCAAAAATTGACATTTTTTTTTCTTGATTTCTAGTCCATAATCTCTTGTTTTATCTAAAACTATTTTAAGTCTCTCTAGTCCTTCTTGTTTGGTATTACTCAAAATTATGACGTCGTCCATGTAATACATTACCATCTTCTTTCTAGTGAGGTATCTAAAAATGTGAGTGACGAATCTTTGAAAAACTGCTGGGCTGTTGCAGAATCCAAAAGGGCATTTTAGAAATTTGTATTGTCCATCGGGCGTCACAAAAGATGTATACTTACGACTTCTTTCTTCGACGGCTACGTGAAAAAATCCGTTTTTATGATCTATAGTACTGAAATATTTAGCTCCTTGTAGGCTATCAGTTACATCTTCAATTAATGGTAAAGGAAATCTATCTTTTACAACACGTTTGTTTAATTTCCTATAGTCACAGCAAATTCTGGTATTTTCGTCCTTTTTCTTTACCAATACAATCGGACTTGCAAAATCTGAACTGCTCTCTTGTATTATTCCTTCATCTAGCCAGGTTTGTATCTGTTCTCGTACGTCTTCTTTCTCAGATATTGACAATCTCCGTGGGCTTTGATGTACTGGTTCCTCGTCCTTTAAAATGATCTTCATTTC